TATATATATAATAGAAAGTTTAATTTTAATTTTTTTGATGAAAATACTATGTAGAAATTTACATTTAACTCACACTATCTATATTATCTTCTTTAGGTTATTACGTGGAAAAGCGTGAGCGCGGCGGTGAATGGTTGAAGGTTAACAATTACCCGACACCAAACACGACATTTACCGTGCAGGATCTTCACGAAGGTTCGCGATATGAGTTTAGAGTAAGTGCTGTTAATGAGGCTGGACCTGGAAAACCCAGCAAACCCACTGAACCAATCATAGCCGGACATCAACGCTGTAAGTATACTTCAACAAATCATAATATATTATAATAAACGCGATACAAAAAATTAATTTTATTTTAAAACGTTATAAGTTGAATGCTTCTTATCACTAGCATTTATTTTAATTTTAATCTTAGTTTAAATCTAATTGTTAATATTAGTTTTAATTCGGAATTTTCTTTTTATAATTATAAATATTGATTATGTTTTAATTTAATTTTTTGATTATTATATGCATCTTCTGATATTTAGTTACATTATCATTGTAGTACGTCCTGATGCACCTGAGCCGCCCAAGGCGGACAGGATCACCAAGGATTCAGTGACCCTAAGCTGGCGATCACCGCGAAGTGACGGTGGTTCAAAAATTCGAGGATATATTATCCAAAAGAAGGCTAAGGGTGATGACGATTGGTCAGATGTAAATGGTGCGCCCATACCGAGCAACGTATATACTGTGCCAAATTTAAAAGAGGGCGAGGAGTATCTCTTCAGAGTATTTGCAGTGAACGATGTCGGTAGCAGCGACCCGAGTCGACCCAGTAATCCAATTGTCATCGAAGAACAACCTAACAAACCAGTTATGGATCTTGGTGGAGTTCGCGACATTACCGTTCGCGCCGGCGAGGACTTTTCTATTCACGTGCCTTACATTGGCTTCCCCAAACCGACCGCCACGTGGTTTGCCAATGATGTCATTAAGGATGAAACCGATCCACGTGTGCATCAACAGCTAGCTGATGATTTTGCCAGGTGTGTGTTTTCTTTTGAAAAAACAAGAATTAAAATAAGATATAAAGTTTATTAATTTAATATTTAGTAAATATATAACTATAATATGATAGAAATCATTTAATAATTTGTTAATTGGGAAGAAATTTCTGATCATATATGAAATATCTAAATCTAGAATTCTTCTTTATCTCGGTGACTAACAAAGATAATAATGATGTTACATGTTATATTAATTGATTTTTTTATTACAGTCTGGTAGTGAAGAATGCAAAACGTTCAGATGGAGGACAGTATAGACTCCAGTTACGCAACTCATCTGGATTTGATACAGCAACCGTTAACGTCAAGGTCCTCGATCGTCCTAGTCCACCCGAAAATCTTCGCGCGGATGAATTCGGTGGCGATGCTCTTACTCTCTTCTGGAATCCGCCCAAGGACAATGGTGGTGCTGACATTACTAATTACGTGATCGAAAAGAAGGAATTGAAGGCTGTCACATGGTCCAAGGTAAGAAATATATCAAAATCGTTATCATGATATCTGGATAAAAGAAATAAGAGGAAGGATTAATTAAGAAAACTGAATAGAGAAAAATTAATTTGAAAATAATTTTATATTAGATTCTACAATAGAATGGACATTCTAGATTTTTCCAAAAATTCTAAAGAAAAAAACTTGCAGGTAAGCAGCTATGTTACGACACCGTTTGTGCGAGTCAGAAATTTGACGGTCGGTCAAGTCTACGAGTTCCGGGTGATGGCGGAGAATCAGTATGGTACGTCGGATCCGGCGACAACAATCGATCCAATTAAGGCGCGACACCCGTTCGATCCTCCGGGTGCACCTGGCACACCTCGCGGTGTGGAGACCACCGAGGATAGCATCACCATTACCTGGACCAAACCTCGTCATGACGGTGGATCGCCGATCCTCGGATACGTCATCGAGAAACGTCTTCTGAACGAAGATAAGTGGGTCAAAGCCACACCGGCTCTGGTACATGACACCACTTACAAGTGAGTAACTTGTACTACTATATGTTCTTGAAAAACATCTATAATCTTAACAAGAAGTTTAAACAATTCTCTTCATTGATCTCTTAGGGTTACTGGATTGATTGAAAATCATGATTACGAGTTTCGGGTAGCTGCGGAAAATGCCGCTGGTCGCGGACCATGGAGTTCCAACTCCGATGTTATTCGCGCCAGCGCTGCACCATGTAAATATATCTTACTTAAAAACATTTCATTCTATAAATAAAAAAAATATATATTTTGTAATTAAAATAAAACTATTAATATATTTAATTTAACTTTTATCGTCATTAATTGATTCTTCACAAGCTGATTCAAATGTTCAACATCAATCTTTTTACAGTCCCGCCAAAGATCACGAGCGACCTCAGCATTCGCGATATGACTGTGATTGCTGGAGAACCATTCACCATTACGGTACCGTATACAGCAAATCCCAAACCAAGACCGAATTGGTCTATCAATGGCGAAGAGGTTCTCACTGGCGAGAGGATCAAATTCGAGACAACCGACGTAGCTTCACAGTTTATTAACAAAAAAGCAAAGAGATCGGATACTGGCACGTACACGATATATCTCACAAATACTGTCGGCACGGATTCCGCCTCATGCAAGGTCTTAGTTGTCGGTAAATATCCTACTACGCATCATCTCATTTCTTAAGTTATATTCTGGATTTAAATTCTAGACAATCGTATTTAGAAAGTAGCAAAATAACTTTGAAAATTTTTTTCGAATTATATTGATTTTACAAACATTATGCAGATTATACTAGAGAAGATTTCCTTTTTAGACAAACCGTCACCACCTTTGGCGCCTTTGGATATCTCCGATATCACTCCGGAAACCTGTACGTTAACATGGAAACCGCCCTTCGATGATGGTGGTTCGCCAATCACGAATTACATAGTCGAGAAACTAGATCCGGCTGGCGTAAGTGTTGTTTAAGAAATTCAAAAGAATAATCATAAAGAAAATAATATTATTTTTTTCTTATGACATAAAATGTGACATCAGATAGATATCGATATCTTTATTGCTCTTTCAAATTTCTTTCAGTTCTGGGTGAAGCTTAGCAGCTTTGTGAGAAGCACGCATTATGATGTGATCGGTCTGGAGCCGAATCGCACGTACAACTTCCGCGTAAGAGCAGAGAATCAGTATGGCATATCTGATCCATTGCAAGCTGATGAACCGATAACAGCTAAATTCCCATTCACGGTGCCAGATCCACCTGGACAGCCACGTATCATCGACTGGGATACCTCGAATGCTACAGTGGTCTGGTCAAGACCATTATCCGACGGTGGTTCTCGTATTCAGGTGTGTAAAAAAAAACTTATATCGTTTGAGATGTGAATTATTATAAAATCCTATCTTAAAATTGCCGTATTGCCTGAAGCCTCTTCGTTGAGACTAGTACTTTTGTTGAAATTTAACATTAAAGGATTTTTGGGGTTGCTGATTTCGAATCCGAAATTCAAATTTGAAAATTTAAAACAGCTAAACCAATGTGGTGGACGGAAATGCTAAATGTCGCTCGGTTTCGGCAAAATGTTTGATTTTTTTATCTCTGATTCTGAATGCGAATTCAAAATTTGAAAATTCAAAATGGGATGCAGCGCAAAAATTGAAAATATGTGAATATGAAACATATATAGGACACAAATCTAGTATATTTTATTTTCCAAATCGATTGTTATTAATACGTGGGGGGGGGGGGAGAAGGGAGAGCTAATTGACAGCCTAGTCAATCTCTCACAATAAATTTTTTTTAGCTAAACAAAATGAGTGTAAAAATATTTTGCGGATTTTGAGAGTTCATAAATAGCACAGTATTATATAATATATTCATAAAATTTGGTTAAGTGGAGGGGGGGAGCGGCTAGATAGATGTAGGAAGTCCTTTAAAAGTTACAGCATAAAATTTGAAATTGCTTAGAAATGATAGCGCATAAATCTCAGGAATGAATAGATCTGTTTGCTCCAAGAGAGAAATGGGTTGTAGAGCAAAAATCGAAATTGTTTGGAAAATGATAGCGCATAAATCGAAGATATATTTTGCATAGTTAAAAAGCGTAATTTTGCATTTTTAAACAATTTAGGGGTGAATATGTCTGTTTGTATTAAGAAAAAAATTCCTTAAGGTGTAGCGCAAAAATCGGAATTATTGGAAATATTAGCGCATAAATCGAAGATATATTTTGCAGTTATAAAGCACAATTTTGTAATTTTAATCAACTTAGAGATAATTAGGTTTGTTTACTCCAAGAGGGAAGTTCTTTAAAAGTTGCAGCGCAAAAATGCATAAAATGCATAAATCGAAGATATATATTGCATAGTTAAGATATAATTTTGCAATTTTTAACGATTTAGAGATGAATAAGGGAAGATTCAGTACCAATTTCACAACACAACACAGATCGATATTTATAATCTATTCTTGCATTTAAGATTGTCTTAAGTAAAATCTTAAGATGTCATACGTCAATACGAAAATTGTATTAGCATCTTAAGATATTATATTTAAGACAGTTTTAATATAAACAGGATATATGAATATTGTCCCATGATTAACATTTCACGATTAGTAGCTTCTTCCTATGAACAGTCCTAGACGGAGAGGGTAGATATTTAAAGAGAGAGACACATACAAGAGAGGATTTTTCATTGACGCGGATTTTGAACTTAAAATTTGAAATTAAAACGTGTCTAATCTAATATGGCGTACGTAAAGAGTTTTTAGGTTGATTTAGATTAAAAATTAAAATTTGAAGGAAAAAATGATTAATAATATTTTTTGTTGTTATTTACAAATTGAGTAAATATGTGTATCGAATAATGTAAATATAAAGTGTTGATTGAAATGTTTTGAAATTGAAAGATTTTCTTCCGTCACAAAAAGACCAATCACAACAATTAAAACGCCATTTTATTAGGGATTCATGTTAATTTAATATAATCTATCGTATACATCAATTTGTAAAAATTAAGATAAATTGAAGTTGCGCATAACGCGCGCTTGTGATGGGCTACTATTCAAAATTTTGCATTGTTTAAAGCTCGATATCAAATAAATCCTTGAATTAAAAAATTTCTTTCGTACTATCGAAGTTGAAACTTTTTTTGATATTGATGTAACAGTGCTAATATATTCTACTGTATTATTCTAATATATTATTCTAATGTATTATTCTAATTCTACAATATATTATTATGTATTAATTATTCTAATATTATGTATTCTATATATTATGTATTAATATAACATTATATTAATATAATCAATTACAGGGTTATAAGATTGAGTTCCGCGATCCCGCTGAGGATGTGCAATGGCGCGTGGCAAACGATTATCTCTTCAAGGATACCACATACGTGTGCTATGGTCTGATGAGCGGTCATGAGTATGAATTTAGAATCCGCGCAAAGAACGCGGCCGGTTTCAGTAAACCAAGCCCACCATCTGCGCCGTTTAGACTCAAGAGCAAGTTCAACGTACCATCGCCACCTGGCACGCCACAAGTCACCAAAGTTGGCAAGAATTACGTTGATTTGCGATGGGAACCGCCCGTATCTGACGGCGGCAGTAGGATCACTGGCTATGTGATCGAGAAGCGCGAGGTGGGCAGTGCGATGTGGTCCAAGTGTAATGAGTATAATGTCGTCGATACCGAGTACACGGTCATGCACTTAATTGAGCGAGGTGACTATGAGTTCAGGATCTTTGCGGTGAACGCGGCTGGCAGATCCGAACCAAGCTCATGCACTACCCCAGTGAAAATCTGCGAGGTCGAGGGTGGTGAGAAACCGGAGTTTATCAGAAACCTGCCAATCAGTCAGATTATACCACTTGGCAAGACTCTTGTTCTCGAATGCGAGGCTACGGGTAAACCACTGCCAACTGCCAGGTTAGCAAAAATTTATTTTTGCTGGTTTTTTTATTATTAAATAAGATTTATTATACAAATTAAAATGGAATTAGGAATTTATAAGTCTAGTATCATAATAATTAAAATGTATCTTTTAATATATCATGTACGTGTTATATATATTATTATTATATGTTGTTAATTTTAATATAATATTATTATAATTTGAACTTGTAATATGTTCAGGTGGCTGAAGAACGGTCGTGAGATCACTTTAGGAGGTCGCTTCCGCGCCGAAGCAATAAATGGCATTTATAGATTGGTGATATCCGAAGTATGGGACGCAGACGATGGCGATTATAGCTGCCAGATTTCGAATCCGCTCGGCGTCGCCGTGACCACGTGCAGGCTAAAGATCGGTACGCCGCCACGCATCGAGCGCATGCCGAACGATCTCTATCTACCGGAAGGCGACAACACGAAGATTAAAATTTACTACAGTGGCGATCAACCGATGGAAGTGACTCTGAAGAAAGATGGTCGCCAAATCGTGGAGACAACACATATCAAATATACTGTATTCGACGAGTATCTAATTATCTTCATCAAAGATATCCAAAAGGACGATGCAGGCATTTACGATTTGTCCATCTCGAACGACAGTGGCAGCGTCAGCGCATCCTTTAACGTATACATTACTGGATTGCCTGGACCGCCAACTGGACCGCTTGATGTTTCTGATATTGATAAGCATACATGCACCTTGTCCTGGCATCCACCCAAATATGATGGTGGTCTTCGAGTTACTCATTATGTGGTGGAGCGTCGTGATGTCAGCCATACGCATTGGATCATTGTGTCATCCTTCTGTAAAGACTGTACTTTCGTCGTGCAGGGACTTACCGAGGGTCAGGAGTATCTTTTCCGAGTGATGGCCGCCAACGACAACGGCATGGGCCCGCCGTTAGAGGGCATTAACCCAATCAAGGCCAAGGCACCGTTTGATCCACCAGGACCACCCGGTACGCCTAAAGTCATTGAAGTGGGTGGAGATTTTGTCAATCTTTCATGGGAAAAACCAGAAACGGACGGCGGTGCCAAAATCCAGGGTTACTGGATCGATAAGAGAGAAGTTGGCAGTCAGGCATGGCAGCGTGTAAACGTCAGTATCTGCCTGCCAACGCAGATCAATATCAGCAATCTGATCGAAGGAAGGCAATACGAGTTCCGGGTATTTGCTCAAAATATTGCAGGACTTAGTCCTGAATCGAAAGCTTCGACCTCTGTGAAGATTGTTGATCCACAAGCAGCGAAGCCTCCGGAAATCATTCAACCTCTTCAGAAGGTTTGTATTTCCTCAATTTGCATCTTGCACCTAATAAGTAATTAAGATTGTAAGTAACTAAGATTTTAAATAATGTAGGCGATTTGATCCAAAAGATGTAATTATCTTTTTTTCATTTTCTTTTCATCAGGTGAATTGCGTCCAGAATCACAATGCCCACTTCCAATGCAAGATTATCGGCACACCGAAGCCAAATATCACTTGGTTCAAGGGCGCCCGCGAGATTGTGAGCGGTAGTCGCTACAACATCTATTCCGAGGGCGATACCCACAATCTCATCATCCATGACGTGTTCGGTGAGGATGCCGATGAATATTTCTGCCGTGCAGCAAATAAATGCGGTGTGAAATCTACCAAGGGTGAACTCTTCATCAAGACACCGCCGAAGCTAAACGTGCCGCCACGTTTCCGTGACACTGCCTTCTTTGACAAAGGTGTGAACGTCGTCATCAAGATTCCTTTTACCGGTTATCCAAAACCAAAGATTACGTGGGTACGCGAAGGGGAAGTAATCGAGTCTGGTGGACATTATGCTGTCGAAGTAAAAGAGCGGCACGCTGTGTTGACGATACGTGATGGCAGTCGTATGGACTCCGGTCCCTATCGCATCTCCGCCGAAAATGATCTCGGTCAGGACACAGCCATCATCAAGATTCAGATCAGCGATCGTCCAGATCCACCCAGATTCCCGCAAGTGGATAATATCGGTCATGACTCGCTAGCAGTCAGCTGGAAGCCGCCAGTTTGGGATGGTGGCAGTAACATCACCAACTATGTGGTGGAGAAGCGTGAGCATCCGATGAGCAGCTGGATCCGTGCTGGCAACACTCGTTTCTGCACATTTGCAGTAACCGGTCTTAGTCCTGGAAAGCAATATGATTTCCGGGTGTGTGCAGAGAATATCTACGGTCGTTCGGATCCGAGTGAAGTAACGCCGTTGATTACTACGAAGGGCGTGATTAAGCGCGAGTTCAAGAAGAAAGAATATGAGGTGGACGCGAGCGGCAAGAAAATACGTGGTCGCGAAGATGAGAAGCCGCGTGATTACGACCAGTTCGTGTTCGACGTGTATAGTAAATACGTGCCGCAACCAGTTGAAATCAAGCACACATCAGTCTACGACAAATATGACATTCTGGAGGAGATCGGCACTGGCGCGTTCGGCGTAGTACACCGCTGCCGCGAGAGGACCACCGGTAACATTTTCGCTGCTAAATTTATCCCGGTATCGCATGTGATGGAGAAAGAGCTAATCAGAAAGGAGATCGACATCATGAATCAACTGCATCATCCCAAGCTGATCAACTTGCACGACGCCTTTGAAGATGATGATGAGATGGTGCTAATTTTCGAATTGTAAGTGTTCACTTTGGACAAAAGAATCGTTTGCTATTAAATCCGACGGCGGATTATGACGGATTTACGTTGTTCTTGATCTCGATTATTTGTTTCATTAGCTTGTCCGGCGGAGAACTATTCGAGAGGATTACGGCCGAGGGTTATACTATGTCCGAAGCGGAAGTCATTAATTATATGAGGCAGATCTGTGAGGGCGTCAAGCATATGCACGAGAAGAACATTATCCATCTCGGTAAGACATAAATATTTTGACAATTTTTTTATAATACATGGAATTTGTTATAAATTTCATTAATTAATTTAAGGTTTAATCAAATTTTATTTTAATACAAATTTAAATCTACATTTAAAAAGAAATATTTTTCGAACATTAACAATGAATTCCACAAACAAATTATCATTTTATCGTTGATTATAATGCCAATATAAAATAAAGTATAAATTATGATATCTGTTCTTCATACTGATAATTTTTGTTCTAAATCGAAAATTTTTTCAAAAATTTCTTCTTTATATGTTAAATTTTAGATGCTATTTATATAAATACTGCGAGCTAATTTATTAAATTCTTATTATTTTATTATGTAATATTTGATTATTTTCAGATATTAAACCCGAGAACATCATGTGCCAAACTCGTAACAGTACGAATGTGAAACTGATTGATTTCGGTCTAGCTACTAAACTCGATCCGAATGAAGTAGTAAAGATCAGTACAGGCACGGCTGAATTTGCCGCTCCCGAAATTGTTGAACGTGAACCTGTCGGTTTTTATACCGATATGTGGGCCTGTGGTGTACTAGCTTATGTCCTGTAAGTAGACTTTTATCATATAACATAGAAGCGGAAAAATATTTCGCGTTTCTTGAGAGATGTTCGATTTATTTCACTATTATAGTTCACTATTATAGTTCCAATTATAACAAAACTTCAGTAATAAATAATTTATAACAATAATAAAATATTTAATTTTATTTAAGGCAGTTATTGCTCAATTTGCAATTATTGAAAATTTCTGAAATTAAATAACTGAAATTAAATAACACTTACGTATATTTGTATGTTAATTAATATTTTATTAAAAAAAAAAAAAGAAACTCTATCGATTAGCATGCATCATTTGCATAGATTGAGCGGTCTTTCACCATTTGCCGGTGATAACGACATCGAGACCTTAAAAAATGTGAAGGCATGCGATTGGGACTTTGACGAGGAGGCATTCCGTGACGTTTCCGAAGAGGGTAAAGATTTCATCAGGCGACTACTCGTCAAAAATAAAGAGTATGTTTTTTCACAAATCTTCCTCTCTTCTCTCTGTTATTATTTCGTTTATATTACTGTGTTTTGTCCTTCAGGAAGCGCATGACTGCGCACGAGTGTCTCCTTCATCCATGGTTGACCGGCGATCATAGCAAGTGGACCAATCCAATCGCCAACAGTCGTTACCTTAGCATCAGAGATAGATTGCGCGCCAAGTACGAAAATTGGGACAAGTATGTCCTTCCCATCGGTCGTCTAGCCGAGTACTCATCGCTCAGGAAACTTTTAATCGAGAAATACAGAATTTATGATTCTTGCTTCGGTGAGTAAATGCATAAAAATCAATAAATAATTATAATTTTCATGGAAGTGAAAACGTTTATCTCGGAAAACACGAAGCAATTTAAAACATGAATCAATTATTAATTCTAATACAAAATAAAAATATCATCTACAAATTAAGTATATTTAAACATCAGAAAAGTTCCAATTACGTTTAATTTATCAGACATTTAAAAAATTGTATATA